ATGGACGGCGATGCCGAGACTTTGCAGAGACATTTTCATTCGTTCATTGTACAAAATTTTAGAGATAGAATTTGCCCAAACTCTTATAGCTTGTAAAGGAAAGAGCGTAGTACATGCTGGTATGCTTCGTTAAGCTGGCAGAAATCGTTTTTTCTAATAAAGTTCGTTGGAAAATGAAAATTTTTAACATGGAAAGTCAATGGGAGCGTCTTTATTCCTCTATAACTTTTATCTTTAGTAAGACATATAGGTGAAAAGTTAATATAATATACAACTTCTGATGCTCTTTCCACTGGTGCATAGAACGTCACTGCACGATGTGCCGTTTTTAAGAGAAGCTGTAAAAAATCAGGGCTCGACTGTGACTTGAACCCAACCACATTAGAGTATACGAACAGGTGAAGGGGACACCTCCCATGTGCGGACGCGACGCTGATTATTGCTAATTATTGGCAGTCGGCCGCCCTGGGGGCGCCTTTGCAATGCTTATATCTCCACAACCGCTTGACCGATTCACTTGCGGTCTTTTGTGTGGGATAGCTTCTTCCTTTCTCACACGTAGTGTGCTACCCTCGATACGTATGGGTGACCCCTAATGCACGTGCCACGTGCAAAACGAAGAGGTGTCAGTTCGGTAACAAGTCTAATAACTCTGCAGTTAGTTTGCCGATTGCACTGATACTTGGCATGGATGTAGGCACCCGCCGTGCAATGCATTTCCATGTGTCACGGTTGGGGTGCCGCTGCACGTGCGCACGGGCAGGGTGACGCTTCCAGATCTCGAGAACGGCTGGGCCGATTGTGATCAAACTTGGCACACCGTTAGGGATCGGCGAGTAGGGTGCCGTGCACAAGTCAGATGGGGCCCAGTTTGCACGTGCGCACGTGCAGGCTGACGCTTCCATATCTCAAGAACGGCTGGACCGACTGTGCTCAAATTTGGCATACCACTAGAGACTGGTTAGTAGGGTGCCGTGCACAAGTCAGTAAGTATGTATTTTCATGTGCCACGGTTGGGGTACAACTGCACGTGCGCACGTGTAGGGGTCGTTTCCAGATCTTGGAAACGGCTGGGCCGAATGCGATTAAATTTGGTACACCGCTAGAGACCGGCGAATAGAGTGCCGTGCACAAGTCAGTTGGGACCCAGCTTGCACGTGCGCACGTGCAGGGTGCCGCTTCAAGATCTCGAAAACGGCCGGGCCGATTGCACCCAAATTTTGCACACCGCTCTAGACGGGCGAATAGGGTGCCGTGCACGTCAGTTCGTAGCACACCCACTCCGGTCTGCACGTGCAAGGCTCATCCTCTCGTTTGACGGCGGTCGTTTTTGCGGCGTTACAGAGGTGATTGCTCAAACAACCTGCGGTCCCGCGATGCGGAGCCCAGCATCGCAGATGCTGGTAACCGCAGGTTGTTTGAAAAGACAAACACTATTCGTTAGAATTGTGTTTTTCTATTGAAAAACAACCGGAGCGGTCGTTCTCCGGGGTATGTTTTGCAAAGTTGGCCGCGAATCGAGACATCTTGACCGGGGCCTAGACGAAATGTACAATCTTCGTAAAAAGTTCAGTGTATGGGCTCCCGGGGGCGATCTACCTGATGGCACCGGTCGCTACTCGCTTAAAACCTCGTGGCACGTGGCACGTGCGATTCCATTTTCCCCATGTTAAGTCAACGGGGTTTTGGACACTTTTTGCGCGATCGCCAATGGCGGGAAAACGAGCCAAGGAAGAGGTGGTTTTCTTCCCAGCATTTTATGGCAAACACGTTTGGGTATACGCCAGTGTGCGCTGTATACCCCTCAGAATCTCGGAACGTGTCTTTGCACGAGGTCAAAGTTGGAATTTTGCTGTGTCCCATGTTAAGTCAATGGACGGCGATGTCGAGACTTTGCACAGACATTTTCATTCGATCTTTGTACAAAATTTTAGAGATAGATTTCGCCCAAACTCTTATATCTTGTAGAGGAAAGAGCATAGTACTTGCTGGTATGCTTCGTTAAGGTGGCAAAACTCATTTTTTCTTTTAAAGTTAATTTGAAATTTAAAATTTTTAACATGGAAAGTCAATGGGAGCGTCTTTATTCCTCTATAACTTTTATCTTTAGTAAGATATATAGGTGAAAAGTTAATATAATATACAACTTTTGATGCTCTTTCCACTGATGCATAGGACGTCACTGCACGATGTGCCGTTTTTAAGAAAAGCTGTAAAAAATCAGGGCTCGACTGTGACTTGAACCCAACCACATTAGACTATACGAACAGGTGACGGGGATACCTCCCGTGTGCGGATGCGACACTGATTATTGCTAAATATTAGCAGTCGGCCGCCGTGGGGGCGCCTTTACAAACCTTATATCTCTGCAACCACTGGACCGATTCACTCGCGGTCTTTTGTGTGGGATAGTTTCTTCCTTTCCCAAACGTAGTGTGCTCCTCTCGATGCGTATGGGTGACCCCTAATGCACGTGCCACGTGCAAAACGAAGAGGTGTCAGTTCGGTAGCAAGTGTAATAACTCTGTAGTTATTTTGCCGATTGCGCTGATCCTTGGCATGGATGTAGGCACACGCCCCGCAACGCATTTCCATGTGTCACGGTTGGGGTGCCGCTGCACGTGCGCACGGGCAGGGTGACGCTTCCAGATCTCAAAAACGGCTGGGCCGATTGTGATCAAAGTTGGCACACCGTTAGGGCTCGGCGAGTAGGGTGCCGTGCACAAGTCAGATGGGACCCAGTTTGCACGTGCGCACGTGCAGGCTGACGCTTCCATATCTCAAGAACAGCTGGACCGACTGTGCTCAAATTTGGCATACCACTAAAGACTGGTTAGTAGGGTGCCGTGCACAAGTCAGTAAGAATGTATTTTCATGTGCTGCGGTTGGGATGTAGCTGCACGTGCGCACGTGTAGGGGTCGTTTCCCGATCTTGGAAACGGCTGGGCCGATTCAGATTAAATTTGGTACATCGCTAGACACCGGCGAATAGAGTGCCGTGCACAAGTCAATTGGGGCCCAGGCTGCACGTGCGCACGTGCAGGGTGTCGCTTCCAGATCTCGAAAACGGCCGGGTCGATTGCACTCAAATTTGGCACACCGCTATAGACCGGCGAATAGGGTGCCGTGCACGTCAGTCCGTAGCACACCGACTCCGGTCTGCACGTGCAAGGCTCATCCTCTCGTTTGGCGGCGGGCGTTTTTGCTGCCTTTACAAAGGTGCTTGCTCAAACAACCTGCGGTCCCGCGATGCGGAGCCCAGCATCGCAGATGCTGGTAACCGCAGGTTGTTTGAAAAGACAAACACTATTCGTTAGAATTGTGTTTTTCTATTGAAAAACAACCGGAGCGGTCGTTCTCCGGGCTATGTTTTGCAAGTCTGGCCGCGAATTGGGGCAACTTGGGTGGGGCCTAGACGAAATGTACAATCTTCGTAAAAAGTTCAGGGTATGGGCTCCTGGAGGCGATCTACCTTATGGCACCGGTCGCTACTCGCTTAAAACATCGTGGCACGTGGCACGTGCGATTCCATTTTCCCCATGTTAAGTGAACGGGGTTTTGGACACTTTTTGCGCGATCGCGAATGGCGGGAAAACGAGCCAAGGAAGAGGTGGTTTTCTTCCCAGCATTTTATGGCAAACACGTTTGGGTACACGCCAGTGTGCGCTGTATACCCCTCAGAATCTCGGAACGTGTCTTTGCACGAGGTCAAAGTTGGAATTTTGCTGTGTCCCATGTTAAGTCAATGGACGGCGATGCCGAGACTTTGCAGAGACATTTTCATTCGATCTTTGTACAAAATTTTAGAGATAGATTTCGCCCAAACTCTTATATCTTGTAGAGGAAAGAGCATAGTACATGCCGTTATGCTTCGTTAAGCTGGCATAACTCATTTTTTCTTTTAAAGTTAATTTGAAAATTAAAATTTTTAACATGGAAAGTCAATGGGAGCGTCTTTATTCCTCTATAACTTTTATCGTTAGTAATATATATAGGTGAAAAGTTAATATAATATACAACTTTTGATGCTCTTTCCACTGATGTATAGAACGTCACTGCACGGTGTGCCGTTTTCAAGAAAAGTTGTAAAAAAGCAGGGCTCGACTGTGACTTGAACCCAACCACATTAGAGTATACGAACAGGTGACGGCGATACCTCCCGTGTGCGGATGCGACACTGATTATTGCTAAATATTAGCAGTAGGCCGACTGTGGGGGCGCCTTGCAAAGCTTCTATCTCCACAACTGCTTGACCGATTCAATCACGGTCTTTTGTGTGGGATAGCTTCTTCCTTTCTTACACGTAGTGTGCTATTCTCGATGCGTATGGGTGACCCCTAATGCACGTGCCACGTGCAAAACGGAGAGAAGTCAGTTCAGTAACAAGTCTAATAACTCTGTAGTTATTTTGCCGATTGCGCTGGTACTTGGCATGGATGTTGGCACGCACCCGGCAATGCATTTCCATGAGTCACGGTTGGGGTGCCGCTGCACGTGCGCACGGGCAGGGTGACGCTTCCAGATCTCGAGAACGGCTGGGCCGATTGTGATCAAACTTGGCACACCGCTAGACGCTGGTTAGTAGGGTGCCGTGCACAAGTCAGATGGGACCCGTTATGCACGTGCGCACGTGTAGGTGTCGTTTCCCGATCTTGGAAACGGCTGGGCCGATTCAGATTAAATTTGGTACATCGCTAGAAACCGGCGAATAGAGTGCCGTGCAAAAGTCAATTGGGGCCCAGGCTGCACGTGCGCACGTGCAGGGTGTCGCTTCCAGATCTCGAAAACGGCCGGGTCGATTGCACTCAAATTTGGCAGACCGCTATAGACCGGCGAATAGGGTGCCGTGCACGTCAGTCCGTAGCACACCGACTCCGGTCTGCACGTGCAAGGCTCATCCTCTCGTTTGGCGGCGGGCGTTTTTGCTGCGTTTACAAAGGTGCTTGCTCAAACAACCTGCGGTCCCGCGATGCGGAGCCCAGCATCGCAGATGCTGGTAAGGCTGGCTCCCCGTCCGCTGGTCGTGTGACCGACTGCCAGGATGCTGGTCGGGTCGAGGGCTGCCACTTTCCCTGTGCTGCCGGGCCGGACGCCGCAGCGGTGGAGCAGGTGCCGGAATATCCCGCAGAACTGTGCGGCACTGGGGTTGTTCCAGCCACCTGGAAGGTTCGATTAGTATCAATAAAATATGGCTAATAGTGTTTAGTGTTAACATACGCCAGGCACAAGTGTTGTATTTGTTGTTAACACATTGTTGACACACACGCACACGCACCCACACACGCACACACACACACACACACACACACACACACATGTTGGCAATGGTAAAGCAGTCTCCGGGCATTTGGTAATAATTTTTTGCACTTATTCTGGTTTTAGTGACTGATGGGCCTTTACCCACGCATGACTGGAGGGTGGGGCTCTACAGAGCCCCTCTCCTGTTTTCTGCAATAAAATATTTACATTTATATATTGAAAAAATTAAAATATATATTTGTTGCAATATTTCTAAACCACTAGACGTGTCAATACGAAACTTGCAGTACCTTCGGCTGCATCAATCTGAAATATTTTATAGAAATAAAAATTGTGTAGCTACCATAGGTCGGCCGTAAATGACGTCAGAGTGATCAGTGAAGTCATATTCTGCCAATTTTGATGCAAGAAATTGAACTACAGCAATCGCTCTCGGTGACAGATAACCTGTAACAATATAAAAAATCAAGAGTCTGTAGCTTTTACTTGCCAATGCAGGGTGATCTCTTGACTCTTGAGCCTCATCCCTGGTTTGTCAGCAATCAAATCCTGCACATCTATTTGGCATCTTGATTCTTGAGAGACTGAGAGGCAAATTTCAATTTCAAAAGATACTAGTCTTTAAAGCTGAAACATATTAACAGTTAGTCAGATCAAAACAAGGCCTGTAGCATACAAGTGTAGGATACTGGATTTGCACACAGTACACACTACAAAATACACATAGCAAACAGTGAGATTACAGTCATGGAAAAGCATCAGGTTTTTAAAATAATAGTTTACACAGACTTAAATACAAGAATTTAAATGAGCTTCAAATAAAATGAGAAGTGGAGTGAAGTACCTAACAAATAAGGGTATCCATAAATCTGGTGCCACCGTCGGCACATATAAGGTTGGTAGGTTGTAGGTGGGTAGGTTGTAGGTATGGAGGTTGTATGTAGGTTGAGGTTTGTAGGTTGTAGGTTAGTTAGGTTAGTAGGTAAGGTTAGGTCAAGTAAGATTATGATTTTTATCTTCCTTGGACTTCATATTTACTTGTTAGCACTTAGCATTGATGGTAACGCCAGATTTACTAATACCCTATTTACTGATACTGATAACAGGTGAGCCAAAAGAGCATGAAGTGTAGTTTAAGCTTTACAATGTGAAAACTAATTAGGTAATGACAATCTGAGTTTAGGTGCTCCAACTAACGCACATTTTTACGTCACCCCTGTGCTGTTCATTATTGGGATCAAATGTGCGACACTGTTCACTGGTGCAGATATCACGACGTCTGGCATTTTCACTATCTATCAGCTCTGGTTGAGGGTGAGCGTGGTATGCCACTGCACTCTGAACCCAGAGCGGATAAGAGCCCCCGAGGCATCGGGCATAGTGCATGGATTTTTCGTTTGGCACTGAACTACTATTTAATACTAACTGATGACATTAAGTAAAGTACTTATTTAAAACCTATAATCATAAAACCTTCTTACTTCATAAATATTGTCCATTGAAGGCAACAGTAGAAAGTGAGCAGGCAAAGCAAGTGTAGGTAATGAGTCTGCTTTCCGCTGCCAATGTTCTGGTACCTATCTAGGTAAGCTTTCTTTGTGAAAAATCATATGACTGATGCTCTATCCATGCAAGAATAATTAAAGGATTGTGGTGTGCACAAAAAAAAACATGGGAACTGAATTAAATATAAAACAGGCATGCCAAGCAAATCTACCTTTGGTGCCGCCTATTCTTCATCAGCGTCAACAGTGCAACATGTCTAAGGCTAACGTAGCCAAATTACAATAGATAAGCATATTTCAGCACTTATTCCACAATCTACACATTCCAAAGAATGCCGTGAGCAAAAAAGATTAGCACTTTTCGGTCGAAAAATACCACAAAATCAGTCTCAAATACCCCCCTCCTCCCGTAGTGTTTACACAGCGCCGCAGATTCCCGCCCTCACAAACATGGCGGCCAGTCGCACGCACTAAAACACTGCCAATGTCCCATCTAGTCTTTTATATCTATGGTGGTTGTGCTGCTTCCACGATTTGTTCCCTTTAACTCATGGAGGACTTGAATCAACGAGGTTATCTTAGACTAGGTAATATATAATACTGAACGAGGCCGGTGTAAATAAATTTTCAAGACCGAGGTCCTTACTGGATTTTTGAACGAGGCCGAAGGCCGAGTTCAAAAATCAGTAAGGACTGAGGTCTTGAAAATTTATCACCGGCCGAGTTTGGTATGTATTTTACTGTATGCCAACGATGCCAACGATAAATTTATTTTCTGGACCGAAGCTCTTAGCCGACTTAGGAACGAGAACATCCCAAAATGTTGGCTTAAGTGCATTCTGGTAATGCATTTTTGACCGTGGTCAATTTGCTTACACCAGTTATTACCACACCCCTCTGGCTAATGTATTTGAATAGACCAGGCATACAGTAAATAAAGATAGCAGGGCATTGCTGTGTCTACCGATCAGTGCTCCAGAGCTATGTATTTAATTCCAAATAGAAGCACATGTCTAACTCCTCCCTCCCATGTCAGGCTGGGTCTGCAGGGTGACACCAGTGACGCGCGGACCGTCTCCTTCCTGCACGTGCTGGACGTTCTACCTCGTCTGCGCCGACCTCCGCGCTACATCCTTCTGGAGAACGTGCGCGGCTTCGAGCGGTCGGCTGCGCGAGATGCTCTCATCACCACACTGCGCCAGCTCGGCCTGCACTGGCGCGAGCTGCTGCTGGCGCCCTCCCAGCTCGGAGTGCCCAACTCACGGTCTCGCTACTATCTGCTGGCGCGCCGACGACCGTTCACATTTGAACAGCCGCCCGAGGGCCAGGTCAGTGATACCAGGTGGTGGATGGGTGGTTCTCAAACTCTAGATGTTGCGTTATAGAGGTGGGCAAGGTGACGGACACGGACGTGTTCTTTGTTTCGATTGGAATTCTCAAAGTATGAACGGATTTGTAGATATAAACAGGAAATACATTTTAAATTCGTATTTGTTTTAGTAAATACTTATTATCCGTACCCACTCCAGTCTTATAGAAATTAGATATGCCAGTGAATATTGTTGGCTTCTATGGCTAGTGACTAGGCTTAGCAAAAGATTTGCAACCAAATAAGCAAAATACTTTAAAATACTCCCATCCTTAATCAGTGGTTTCTAATTTTGATATATGTCACTCCATCGTAAAAATATTCCATTGCTCAGAAACGTTCTCGGTTCACACGTGTACGAGAACCCTGCTGCTTTCTGCTTTCTGCTTATATCCCTGCTTCCTTTCGCCTTTGTCCTTTCGCACTCTCGCTTTAGCCTGTTATCTTGCATGCCGATAAATCCCCGATGTTTCGTGTTTCACAGATTCTAGAGGAGTTGCCGTTTTGTGCGTGCGGTCACACCAATGACTCAGATTCTGCCTGCAACAGCTGCAACAAACCAGTTCTCAACAGACTTTCTGAATATATGTCCGGGAAGTGGGACTCTCACGACGACAGCGCAGGTACGGAAACCTTGTCAGAATTCTTGTCATAGCATCATTGATCCGAGGATACTGATTCCATTTTAGATGAGGCTGCCTTCTTTTTCTACGATGCGATGTTTTTGTGCTACTCTGAAGTGGTTTTAAGTACCTAGTATTCTAACCTCTTTGTACGCGGAGTTCAGTATAAAATCCGTTCACAGTTTCCTGCATAGCCGCTGTCCGTTGCGATTTCATATGCAGCGATGCACAATCTTGATATCCGGAACCTGCTTAGGTCAACGAACCCAGCGTGCTTTCCCTCTCCACCCCAGGTATAGCACGACAGTACGTCGATGTGTGACATTCGTTTCCCGGTATATGACCTCCGTTTCCCGATGTGTATCTTCTTCATGTGAACGGTTTTTGGCGTGGCCTCCGTTTCCTGATATGTGATCTTCATCTCCCGATGTGACTTCGCTTTCCCGATGTGTGACTACTGTTTCCAGAAGTGTGACCAAAATCTGACCTGCGTCTCTCTACGTCTGTCAAGACAGCCTCAGATTCAGATTCACTTTCAGAATCACATTCGGACCCCCGTAGATTTTCATAAAAACTGGTCCATAGGTACAGTTTTGGACGCTGATTCCAATGGTGAAGTCTGTTTTTCGCCACATATTATACTTTGGCCCCTAGAGGCATTCAAAGTTTTTTTGGGGGCGAAGGGGGACCCCCTTAGATTTTCATAAAAACTGGTCCATGTTTACAGTTTTGGACGCTGATTCCAACGGTGAAGTCTGTTTTTCGCCACATATTATACTTTGGCCCCTAGAGGCATTCAAAGTTTTTTGGGAGAAGGGGGACCCCCTTGGATTTTCATAAAAACTGGTCCATGTGTACAGTTTTGGACGCTGATTCCAATGGTGAAGTCTGTTTTTCGCCACATATTACACTTTGGTCCCTAGAGGCATTCAAATTTTTTTGGGGCGAAGGGGGATCCCCTTAGATTTTCATAAAAACTGGTCCATGGGTACAGTTTTGGACGCTGATTCCAATGGTGAAGTCTGTTTTTCGCCACATATTATACTTTGGCCCCTAGAGACATTCAAAGTTTTTTTGGGGGCGAAGGGGGACCCCCTTAGATTTTCATAAAAACTGGTCTATGTGTACAGTTTTGGACGCTGATTCCAACGGTGAAGTCTGTTTTTCGCCACATATTATACTTTGGCCCCTAGAGGCATTCAAAGTTTTTTTTGGGGAAGGGGGACCCCTTAGATTTTCATAAAAACTGGTCCATGTGTACAGTTTTGGACGCTGATTCCCATGGTGAAGTCTGTTTTTCGCCACACATTATACTTTGGCCCCTAGGGCATTCAGATTCACTTTCAGAATCACATTCGGACCCCCTTAGATTTTCATAAAAACTGGTCAATGGGTACAGTTTTGGACGCTGATTCCAATGGTGAAGTCTGTTTTTCGCCACATATTATACTTTGGCCCCTAGAGGCATTCAAAGTTTTTTTTTGGGCAAAGGGGGACCCCCTTAGATTTTCATAAAAACTGGTCCATGTGTACAGTTTTTGACGCTGATTCCAACGGTGAAGTCTGTTTTTCGCCACATATTATACTTTGGCCCCTAAAGGCATTCAAAGTTTTTTTGGGGGAAGGGGGACCCCCTTAGATTTTCATAAAAACTGGTCCATGTGTACAGTTTTGGACGCTGATTACAATGGTGAAGTCTGTTTTTCGCCACATATTATACTTTGGCCCCTAGAGGCATTCAAAGTTTTTTTTGGGGAAGGGGACCCCCTTAGATTTTCATAAAAACTGGTCCATGTGTACAGTTTTGGACGCTGATTCCCATGGTGAAGTCTGTTTTTCGCCACATATTATACTTTGGCCCCTAGAGGCATTCAAAGTTTTTTTTGGGGGAAGGGGGACCCCCTTAGATTTTCATAAAAACTGGTCCATGTATACAGTTTTGGACGCTGATTCCCATGGTGAAGTCTGTTTTTCGCCACATATTATACTTTGGCCCCTAGGGCATTCAGATTCACTTTCAGAATCACATTCGGACCCCCTTAGATTTTCATAAAAACTGGTCCATGGGTACAGTTTTGGACGCTGATTCCAATGGTGAAGTCTGTTTTTCGCCACATATTATACTTTGGCCCCTAGAGGCATTCAAAGTTTTTTTTGGGGGAAGGGGGACCCCCTTAGATTTTCATAAAAACTGGTCCATGTGTACAGTTTTGGACGCTGATTCCAATGGTGAGGTCTGTTTTTCGCCACATATTATATTTTGGCCCCTAGAGGCATTCAAAGTTTTTTGGGGCGGAGGGGGACCCCCTTAGATTTTCATAAAAACTGGTCCATGGGTACAGTTTTGGACGCTGATTCCAATGGTGAAGTCTGTTTTTCGCCACATATTATACTTTGGCCCCTAGAGGCATTCAAAGTTTTTTGGGGCGGAGGGGGACCCCCTTAGATTTTCATAAAAACTGGTCCATGGGTACAGTTTTGGACGCTGATTCCAATGGTGAAGTCTGTTTTACGCCACATATTATACTTTGGCCCCTAGAGACATTCAAAGTTTTTTTGGGCGAAGGGGGACCCCCTTAGATTTTCATAAAAACTGGTCCATGTGTACAGTTTTGGACGCTGATTCCAACGGTGAAGTCTGTTTTTCGCCACATATTATACTTTGGCCCCTAGAGGCATTCAAAGTTTTTTTTGGGGGAAGGGGGACCCCCTTAGATTTTCATAAAAACTGGTCCATGTGTACAGTTTTGGACGCTGATTCCAATGGTGAA